CCCCCCCCCCCCCCCCCCCGCGCCGACCTGATGGCCGCGGGGCATTGAAACACAGACAGTCCGGAGGTAGTAGTTCCACCAAGGTGCTGGACTCATCATCAGAAATCCAAGATTCCGTGACGAACAGAAAATCCAACTCCTCATCTTTAAAAAAGTCATTGAGGATAAACGTCTTGTTGGAAACAGACCTTGCGTTGATTAAACACATCCTGATAGGGTCCAACACAGGCACAGCCATGGAAGGAGACGTGCGCGCCAGCGGGCGCAGGTTATGAAGAACAGCTCCTCCTGGTCTGCTGGTGCGGCGCACAGGTAAACAACTCCAGGTGTTCACATGGACTGAGCGCGCGGGCAGCTGGCCAGCAGCCGGGCCCCGGGAGCACCACGGGTCAGAGAGGAGATGATCAGATCCAGAGCGAGTCCTGTTAGAATAATCCACTCTTTGCCTCAGTTTCACCAAAATCCCTGCACGCTTCCCACGACGTCTGCGACGTTTCCTCCATGGAGAAAGGCCAGGGTCACGCAGAAGGAACGCAGGAATCTCAGATAGGACCGGTGGGGGAGAGTGCTGGCTGCTGTTCAAAAACTCCGCGGGAATTTCAGCAAACGTACGGAGCTCCAAAAGTGCCCGACGATCATACTGAAAATATGACTCGGCACACTGCACAAACCATTGTAAAAATAACAAAAATAAAATACAAGCAGAGAGCGAGAGACGGGCAGCCCTACACACCGGCGCCATCTTGGAAAACCCAAGTAACATCAAAACATCAAACAGATCAGCAACATCATCAAACAGATCAGCAGCAACATCAAACAGATCAGCAGTAACATGAAACAGATCAGCAGTAACATGAAACAGATCAGTAGCAACATCAAACAGATCAGCAACAACATGAAACGGATTAGCAGCAACATGAAACAGATTAGCAGCAACAGATCAGCAGCAACATGAAACAGCTCAGCAGCAACATGAAACAGATCAGCAAGAACATGAAACAGATCAGCAGCAACATGATGTGATTTTTCACAGTGATTATCCTGGTTAGAGATTCATGAGTCTAACAGTCTCAGGGTAGAAGCTGTTCCTCAGTCTAGTGGTTCTACACTTAATGCTCCTCAACCTCCTTCCTGAGGGGAGTGGGGCAAAAAGTGTGTGTGCTGGGTGAGTGTGGTCCTTCATGATGCAGGTGGCCCTCTTCCTGCATCTGGAGGTGTAGATGTCTGTGATGGTGGGGAGGCTGACTCCAACATCTTCTGTGCAGCCTTCACCACTCTCTGCAGAGCTTTTCTTTCTGCAGCTGTGCAGCCTCCATGCCACACATTGATGCTGGAGCACAGGATGCTCTCCACTGCACACCTGTAGAAGGAGGTGAGGACTGAGCATTCTGCTGTATTTTACAAAGGTTTATTACAGTTGATTAACATGAAACAAAAAGTGTAAACTCAGTTTTTGTTGAAGTCTCTATTTCTGCAAAGCGTTTGTAATGCAGCACCGCTGCAGCTCTGCAGGTAAGGGACATTCACTTCCTGACAAATTGAGGTTGCTGATTGGTCAGCTGCTGACGTGCCTACTGGATTGATTGACAGGTGGGTCGATGATCCGATTACTGCAACAACAAAAAATATCTGATTTCACTGGCCCATTTAAAACTGTCATCATTTATTCCATATTTCTTCAATATTTTGGTGAATCTAACATGGTGACAGTCTGTTGAAGTGCAGAGCGACTCGACCTCGGTCTGTCCACAAAGTCCACCTGCATCCTCAGTCCAGGAGATAAAGCACCTGCAGCTCCTCAGTAAAATAATCATAGGGCTTTTGTCAGGCAGGCGCCCACCCTGGGACAACAAGTGCTGCTTTGTTTTTGGCCACACTTAGAAAAAACTAGTGATGGGACCCATCCGGTATCGGCCTCAGATACCAGCATAATTTACGTACCAGATTTTTCTGATCCAACCTGCAAAGATTTCTGATCCATGATGCAGGTTGGCTTCAAACTATGGGATGGATTTCCTGAACGGAGGCGTGTCTCATGAACCCAGAGTAATAAGACCCGCCTCACATTCAGGAAATCCATTCCGTAGTTTGCAGCAGCTACAACGTGAGTAAATACTCTGCTGAGGGCTGAGCACTGAGCAGCACTGTTGCTAACGGCTAACCACCTTTTCATCGTAACATGTCCGCTGTGGAAGTATTTTACACTAAACACCACAAGACAGCAACGTGCACTGTCTGCAGAGCCGCTGCACCGAGAGGAGGAAGCTCCGTCGCAACCTTCAATACATCGAACTTGATAAACATTTGAAAAAGCAGCACATTAAAGAGCGCGAGGATTGTTTAGCCAGGCACCGCGGTAACGTTAGTTTTCTGTTGGACGTTGGAGCTCCGTGGCTTCAGCGGTGTGTTCCTGTCGTTCAGTCCGAAGCAGGCAGTCTGAGTTCAGTCAGCCCGTCTGGAGGAGCAGACTGAACTCAGACTGGCTGCTTCACAGCTTGACTGGATGTTTGCAGCCAAGATGTAGTTTACTTTTACCCTCCAGGAAATATTTATCAGTACAATAGTAGACAATTATATAAAAACATATGAATCACTCAATCAATTCAACTTTATTGTCCATAACATTCAATGAAATGGAGATTTGTCTTTGACATCTGGCTTATAAAACAAAATAAAATGTGATTAAAAAACTCTAAAAAACTTTAAAACCAAACTTTGCTAAATCAATTAAAAACATTCAGTTAAAACCATTCTAAAATACACGATACATTAAAATATGGAAACATCTCAGCAGACAGTGGTTTGTTATGTGAGGCTGCGTTTAAATAGGACCTTGTTAAGTTCATTCACCGCAGAGGGAACAAATGACTTTTTGTACCATTTATCTTCTGCCAGATGGACCAGCCTGAATGATGGTTGCAGTGGATCAGTTGGCTCATTGTAAACCTGGATTGCCTTTTTTTCCAGAACCCGACTGTACAGGTCTGTAAGTGTCATTTGTTGATGACCAATGACTGTACTACCTTGTTTGACCACCCGGGACAACTTGAATTGAAAATAAAAGAAAATTATATATAAAAAAAAGAAACAAAAACAGCTTCATTATAAAGCGATGTAAAATACTAACAACAGGAAAATGTCTGTGTTGGTTTTTGTCATGAACTTAGCAGATGTTTGAAGCCATTTAATCACTTTAATATCCACTTCAGCGTATTGTTTTTATGCTTAGTGTGTATATAGTTGATGTTTTTCTTAGTTCATATCTTTGATCTTATCACTGTTTTTCTTTTACATTTTATTGTTGGATGTAACTGGGACCCTGTGAACATAATCTCGTTCCACCACGTGTACCACATGAGGGGGAGTGACAAAGAACCTTGAATCCTTGAAGTAACAAAAGTCTCTATCAAAGACTGGGTCGCTGCTTCAAAATCCAAGATGGCCACCATCCTATATACGTGTGTGTGTGTGTGTGTGTGTGTGTGTGTGTGTGTGTGTGTGTGTG